ATGTGTGTATGCGAGCTAAGTGTCTGAACCAATGTCATAGTCACTGTAGGTGATGTAAATGTGAAGTGACTGAAGTCAGTACCAGCTGGGATGCTCGTATGTCTGCATGGAACTGGTAGGATTTCCAGGAGGGCTGTGCTGTTTTGTTCTGAGCTGGGAGCTGGAGGTGAGCAGAGGTATTCCAGGGACAACCGAAGTCCTCTTCTGGAGAATCTCTTTTGCAGCGATTTTTATTACCTGTGATGCCACTCGAACTAACCTTCATGGCTGAAGTGGGCAAACTGTTCTTGGGAACCACAGGGACATAGACCTGGCTCTGGGTATCGTCTTTGTTGTGGGACAAAGGATGTGACTGACAGGTGAAGCTTTATTCAAGACCTGGGTGTAAGACTTTAGGTTATTACTGTATTTGGCATGTGAGTACTTCAGCTTTATAATCATAAAGGGAAATATTGTGTTGTTTGGGGATTTCCCCCCCATTAAGTTCTCCATTCATTTCTAAATATTTTATCAAAACCAGAACTATCTGCCAAAACCAAAGGAAGCCAATGATTTGCCAAAGCCAATGCAGAGTCATAAGGTTGACTTCCAAAACTGAGTAGGTCATAGGTTTTCTGTTCATCAGATTTTGACTCTCTAAGACTCTCTTCTGTGGTCCTGAGAGCTCGTTCGATCATAACACTACTATCTCCAGTAGACTTTGTGGGCTCTAACATATCCTCATGCAACATAATTTCTCTTCTGAGCCATTTCTCAAGCCAATGTTGACTGAATTCATCAGTGCTTCTAATTTTGGGGCTTCTTTTAATCTGTAGAGCTACAGACCCTTTATGAACTTACCCAGATCCATGTATGTGTATGTGTCTGTATATGACTTTTTGGGGGACAGAAAAGCACCAATGAGGTGCCCCACACTGCCTTGCCTTTTCTCTCTAATGAGAATGGTGGAGGTTGCTTCCCCTCTTTCACCAAACCCATACGTCAAGAGCAAAAGGGGACAATGGGTCGTGGCACCTCTCCTGGTTGGGGGCTTACCCATAGAAAGAGAAAACAGGCAGGCAGGCAGGAAGAGAGAGAGAGTTTTCCCAGGCACAGCTGCAATATTCAAGAGGGACAAATCTGGGAGCACTGCTACTAAACCCATGTGCTCACTTCCATGTGGGAAAGGTATTTTTTGGTTCCTTATATCCATTCATCATTACTATGTACTATGGCCAAACCCAGGAAAACATGAGTTTTGAAAAAGAAAATTGTTTACAAAGTTACCAGATTTGTCCATCTTAGATTTTACTTTATTCTCAAGGTATCCAGAAGGAAGTAACATGTTCGATGTACTTAAAGCTACAAATATGATTTCATCTTCAGGTTCAGAATTTTGACACATGTAATTTAGGTTATAACAAGAGCCTCAGAGCAACATATATTGAAGTCACAGGCAAAATGCCAATCTCTAGCTACTTGTATTCAGCTGTACTTCAAATTCTCTGAAAGGAGTCAAAATGGAGAAGACTTTCCTCATTTTTAGTGATGTATCAAATTATCACAAGGTGAATTCATTTCAGAAGAGAAAAAAACAAACCCAAAAGACCTTGCTCTGGGTCTTTGCAAGCTGCTTTGTGCCAGCCAGTGCTCGCATGACCAGGAAGTGTATTGGCTGAATAGATACTAGCAAATCATTTTTAATACCTCATTTCAAGTCTTTGGAGATTAATTTTATCATAAATTTGGAAGCCTGATTTAATTGCGCTAATTATATTTTCTCCTGGGAACTGATGGATTACTACCTACTGTATTCTCACTGTGTGTAATGAATCACACTGAGGCTTTCTCTTATTTATACCTGCTAAAAGTCCAGGAAATGAGTTGCGATAGGCATTAAAGAAACATGTAAGAAATTATTCTAAACCATTTGCTACATGTTCTTGCTCCTCTCATAGGTCTGATCTCACATATGATGATAATGATTCCGTTCTTCTGGAAATAATTGCAGAAACTCCATTTTAATTCTCTGTCTGTGGGGAATCCACTGAATAGAGAACATATTTCAGACATGCGAGACATCTACAGTTCCTCTTCAAATTGCTCTATTAACATCCATCCACATCTATTAATTTTTGAACCGAATGCTGTAGATGTAGAAGTCATTATAGCCACCACACTTCCTGATACTTGTGATTCCATCAGATGTAATCATGCACAGGTTGAAGGCTTGATTTCACTGCTGGAATTTGCCATTGAATGGAATAAGGGATTTGGTGACATCCTATCACAGAATAAAATTCATCTGTCACGGTTCAAGTACCAGTCACCAGGGTATCCTGTCTTTTGTACAGCTTTGGAAAATCATGCTGGCTCCTGTTCTCAGCATTCTTTTCATGCCATAAAGCTTATAATCGGTATTCATCATTTATGTAGAAAGAAAAACAGTCCACTCCAAAAATGAAGTAACCATTAAAACTGTGTGCTTTCTGTCGTCTTAATCCCTCCTGTGGAATAAAAAAACCCCCCAGAAGTCTTGGTTTCCTGTAGTAAGGAAGGTTCACAAGGGCTGATTCTCCACACCAATCTTCACATCGTCTCTTACAGTTTTGTTCTGAAATCTTTCCATTTTTCACTGGCTTTTGCAGTCAGAGCAATAGCTAAGTTAGGAACAAGTACAACTCTTGTTCAGCCTTGATGCTGAACTGCTAGTTTAGGTCTCTTTCTGACCCCACCATGTCCTTCCCCTCCCTTGCAGAAAGTGAGGTCCATTGCCCACCGCTGTGATAAAGAGCCTCCTTCCTGGGTGTTTGTGTGCCCTCTCCACACTGGAGGACACTGGGGTTGAGGAAGAGTCCGTATTACATTGCTTGGGCAGCTGGACATCATGTAGACCCTCAGGAATTCAAGCCATGAGTTGCAGCAGCCAAGAGGTTTCTTCTGTTGATTGGGAGTACCAGGCAGCATGTTGCAAAACACTGAGTCCAGCAAGCTTAGTTGAGAGTTGAGAAGGGGGGACCAACATCTCATTATTTTCCTGACCTGATGGAAAGAGAATTTTGGAAGCTGTTCATGCTGTAATTTCTCTGTATGTGTACTCCTTTTTATAATTGCATTTTCTCAAAAGTGGTATCACCTAAAGGTGGATCCTTCTTTCAGATATGACAGTCATTTCCCCTTAATTAATTTTGATCATTTGTTCATCTTTGTGGAACAGATCTTCATGAGGAGAAAGAAAGGCACATTTCCTTCAGGAGCGAGTTATGAACACACTAAATTGAAAAGCTGTGATGTTCTGTCACATTAGCTTGGTCCCTACAACGCAGCAAGTCACACTTGATAAACGGCGACATTAAGAATAACATTAGAGAACACACGCACAGGGTTGTGATGGCAACCAGGATACCTATCTGCCCAGTGTTACACACATTGCCCTCCTCATTTATGCCTTTGGGAATGATGAGCCTATGGGGGGGAAACAAGCAATATGTTACTCAATTTTTTCACACAGATGACAAAAATATGTGGATTATAACTGGACTTTGCATTGAGCTGTAATCCTGTAACTTCAGTGCTGTGAAAAAGTACATAATTATGCTATATTAAATATAGAAACATATGACATATGGTAAAATTTATTACTGTAATTGTTGTTTATTTCTTTATATAAACTATATGTGTGGGTGTATAATGCTACATAAACACATAGAAGCAGTTTTCCAGGGTGTCTGTCACTGTCATACCAGAGTGCTGACACTGCTGTGAGGAGGAGGGTGATTGCCTGTTTTAAGACTAAGTGGCAGCAAGGATTATTTTCTTCTGCTTTTGACCTACCTTTCCCCATTTCTGAATGCCTGGTGTTCAGTTCTTTCTTTAAGCCAGTTTTCTGGATAGGGCTCGCTTATTAAAAGTCACAAACATTATTTTAAATCGCTCCCCTGTCAATGAATCTCTTTAGTAGGTCATACTGCTATAGAGTCCTGGAGGTTTCTGACTTGAGCCACAGCAGACATCTTTGAATGATATCCTCTGATATCATTCAGCCTTAATAGAGTTGGGGGATTTTCCAGAGCCCTTGGTGTTATTTTCACCTTACATTGCAATCAGTAGTACCAGCACTGTTTCCACACAGTCGGGCAGGGTCACATTTAGGCTAACATTGACCACTTCCATTATCCCACTGGTGCCTTCTTTTGCTCTCTCTCCTATATATAGTTCAAATCAAATACTTATTTAAAAAAATATATCTATTCTCCCTTAAAACTATCTCTGGATGTGATGCCCAAAAAAGCCTGGGCACCAAGCACCATTTAAAGAACTTTTATGCTGGAGGTAGTACCTATGCAGTTGGTGTGTATAGCCCTTGGTTTCCCTCTTGCTAGGCATACCTCAGCTGCAAGCGTATGGAGTCAGGAGCTGCATTTTTTCTCCATATTTTTATGCAGCAGCTAAGACACAGATCTCTGGTTCATTACACTGGCTCCTACAGTGCAAGGAAATTATAATAGTTTAAACACACTTGGGTTTATTTTTAGTCTGGAGGATAACAGTGTGGGCATGGCAGAGACTGGAATAGCGGGCAGAGAAATTCTGATGGTTTAGCTTCTTGTTCAGGACCTTTGTAGAGAGTGAGGTAAAAAGAAGTAGTAGGTGAGAAAGACAGGCTGTAACTTGTGTACAGGTCCTGACTCCTGCTAGACACAACTTCTGTGAAGGGTTTTGTTCTGGGACATCCCCGTAAGGGGGCACATGGATGGAAATTTGGTCACTATAAACATGTGCTTGCTCAGTATCTGTTTGTTTGATGAAAAGGCATTTAGCCACAGCCACTGTGCCAACCAGACAAAGCTGGCTCTGGGGAGCAGGACAGAGCTGATGCAGGGCAGCCTGGGGAGCAGCTCTGGCTTTTTCTGTACGGGGGCAAGGTAGGAGGGAGGCTCAGTGGGTTTAAGGACAAGGCAGTCCTCAAAATGATTCATCTTACAATTTCTTTTCCATCTCCTTTTTCTGTTTTTTTTCAGAGTTAAATGTAAGGGAATCCGACGTAAGAGTGTGTGATGAATCATCATGTAAATACGGAGGAGTGTGCAAGGAAGAGGGTGATGGCTTGAAATGTGCGTGTCAGTTCCAGGTAAGGGCTGTTCACCTTTTTGTTCGCTGTTTCTGCCAAATCTCTCAAGTGTATTGAGCTATTTGTAGAATCACCACTTAAAAAATTTCACTCAGCAACAGGCTTACAGAGTCAAACCATAAGCTCCTTTTTTGATGGCACTGATTGGGATGGTATGTGACTGAATTTCAGCAGGGTGTACTCAGGGAGCAAGTGGAGAATTTAGTTTCCTGTTAGCTCCCCACACAGTTTGGGTAAGTCAGCCAGGAGAGGAGACCAATGTGGGGAAGAACAGAGGGCTATCACCTGCTAGGCACCCATGGCCCCATGATGGGCATGAGCAGAGGTGGGGAGCACCAGGGGACACCTGCTCTCTGCCTCCCCACAGTGACTCATCCCGCCCCAAGACCCGAGATGGGAGGGGAAGTGACTTAGAGCAGGGTGGCCAAGTGTTGTCACACACATCAGATGAGGCTTTATAATTTAAATGATGTACTTATTACAGATTGTTTACTCTAATACCCAGTATTTGGAGAATTCTTCTGTGGTCTCCTGATGGCCAAGTGTAGTATGTTAGACCCTGGAAGATCTTAAGGCATTTCAAAAATCAGATAATAACAAGATTACCAGTGATCATAAAGTTAATGATTTAAATCAGTGAATTAGTCCCACTCAGGGAAAAAAAAAAAGAAAAGTGTATGGAAATTTGACAAAAATATCTTCCAAACTTTTAAAAAGTAGTAAATAGCAAGTTCAATTTGCTTCATCATTTTCTGAGCCTTTAAATTACAGTTTTTATAACTCTCATGACAATCCTTCCTCTCATCCCGCCCCCAGCTGTTTCAGAGAAAAAAAACAGTATAGTGGTTCTTTCTTTTTACAGTTTATAGCCAGGACAAATGTATCAAATATTATGAGACTCCTGGTAAAACTGGAAGAGCTGGCAGTGTTATCAGCCAACCCTGGAGAGGGCTGGTTTTCAGTGTTTTAAAAATAATTGTGTGTTCTGTTTCCAATAAATAATAAATCAAGGGGAACCAGAATAGCAACAGTGCGTGTGTGATCTTACATTGATTTTGGATTCCGGTGTTTCAGAGCTGGCTTTTGATGTGGTGCTGTTCACCTATGCTGGGGGCATCCTGCTGCTTACGTTCTGTAAGAACAATGGGATCCAACTGCCTTTTAAAGGGAGAAAAAGTTCTTAAGAGAAGAGGTTTGCTCTTCAGCCTTTACTATGTAACTTTTATTTATGAAAAATGGTAAAATCAAAGCTCAGTAATGATTAAAAAAACCAAAAACAAAACAGGAAATGAAATTCAACCCTAGGCTAAGCAAAGGTTTCATTTATTTTCCATAGGTGGTAAATTTTGCAGCTTCCTAATATCCAGGTCATAAATACTAAAAAAAGAATTAGCCCATGTGATAAGTTGATACTTTGTCTTGAAGACCCGATTTTAAATAACGGTGTTGTTTTTAAGCTACTTGCAAGTTTATTTGTACTTCTTGAAAAATTTATCCTATTCTCTAAGAAAAGAAGTTTAAGGATGAGGAGAAGGTATTGCGTTTTCCAGACATAGCAGGTTGAATTCTTCCTGTAACTCTCAACCTTAATTATTTTTCTGGAACTAGCTGCACCAGTATATCTCAGGCAGCAAACACCCAGCATAAACTGTTAGGTTCTCCACATGTAAGACTATCTGAGAGCTAATATTTTTTCTGACATCGTAAGGCTTTGAAAATGAAATAGACATATTTGTATGTAGTGGTTCAGCTGAAGAGGCACTGGAAGGAAGAGGTGGGGATATCAGCCTGTTTATCCTGAACTCTGTTTCCTATTCCTTATGGCTGGAACAGAGTGTGTGAATAAATGCATCACTGATCCGATTCAGCAAGGCATTTCTTATGCTCTTAAAACTGCAACTTTTAGAAAAATGCACCCCTAGCAAGAGAACTGTATAATTAAATTGGTCTGGAGTCCAGGTTCTGGTCAGGTGAGAATGTTTTGACGGAAAGGAAATGCCATCAGGACAGAGGCTACAGCCGTGGCTGCCCAACAGAGGGGCATTTTGGGGAGCAGAGCGGCATAGCTATTCACAACCACGCATGAACTAAGGCCAAAACTGGCACAAACTTCCCTCAGACTGAGGAAAATGCGGAGATTCTGGTTGCTTTCCAAGCATCACCACTCCTTCCTCTTCCTCCTTGTCTTCCACCACTCCGGCCCCACAGCATTTTTCAATTGTTTGGTGTTCTAAAACTTCAATGAGTTGTAGTTTTTCCTCCTAGGATGCCCTTTGGAGTTGGCTGGCTGGCAAATATCATTGATGTCACTGAAACAGCTATAATGTCATGGCAGCAAGAGCTCTGGAGGCTGCAACCCCTCTGAAAATCTTGTAGGCTTTCTTTGTTCTGCCAAGTCATAAAGCAAGATACCAAATTCTGATTCCCCAGAACTGGATTTACAAGTTAGACCATGGGAGAGGTGCTGGAGGGTGCATTTGTGCCCTGCTTGCAGCAACCTTGATGACATCCTGACTTTCTTCATGGCTACTCCCTTTATATTACAATGAGAGTGGAGGATAACATGTGTTCACCAAACTTTTGGGAAGATCTTTTGCTGTATTTTGGATGAGTTTTCCAAAACCTAAATGAAAAATTGATCAACACCTAGTGAGTGTGTTATGAACCAGTGGGGTGGCAGGAGAGGTATGGTGAGGTGACATGAAGTGAGGTGAGAGAGAGACATCACTGGGCTCTTTTTCAATCTCAGTAAGAACAGCTTGACAGCAAACAGTTTAATAAGATAACTGCTTTAATAAGACAGAAAAGGAAATGGAATATAGATAGTGAGTAAACCTTATGCTCCATTCAGATGCTGGGAACTCATCAATTACACAGCATTGGCTGGAGCCTGGATGGATTTTCCTGGGGCATGCTGAGAAGACCAGATCCTGTCTGTGAAGAGATGCTCTCCCTTTTATTCATTTGAGCTATTAGAGGATTTCCTCACAAGAAAACAACTCTATACCTAAAGAATGTTTGCATGAGAATTTTTGGCTGTACTGTGCCAAATTGCTAAAGGTTTACTAAACTGTGAACTAGGAATCACTTTGCCTTTGATTTTCTATCCTCAACACAGAAACCTGCAACTTTAAAGCATCACACAGTGACTTTCAGATTGAGAATTATCTATTGGAAATTATTGTCCCCCTCAAGAGTCACCAGTTAATTATTCCCTGGAAATGACTGTTCAGTATGAAATGTGGCAGGACTGTTGGCTGTGTTTGAATGACTAAGAGCTACTTACTATGGGAAAATATTACAGAACTGTTAGAAGTAATTTTTGGAGCTGGCAGCATGACTTATTTCTGTCCATACCTGCTTATTTCATTCTCAGTTGGTCATCTTTGGCAGGATGACAAAGGACTGGAGGGTAATACCCTTCAAAATTACGTTTTAAGAATTCAGTGGTTTGACCTCTGCGTATGCCAAAGCACAAAGAAACTGTTGCAACAGACAGTCTCATTTGGAATTTGGAGGAGAAACTCTTGGCTTTTGGGGGCAGTTTAGCTTAACTAATGTCACTGTTTCTGCATGCACTCTCACTGGTTGAACTGTAGCAGTTTATTCAGTCACAAACTTTATATGGGTAAGAAATTTGGTGGCTACTCTGTGTATTTGATCACTGCTTCTTGGTTTTGGTTTTTGGTTGGGTTCTTTTTGCCTTGAGGTTTTGAAGATGCAAAAGGTGTCTGACACATTGCAGTTACCACTGCACCCCAAACAGGGTAATGTCTCCTTTCTCACACAGTGAAGCAGAGTTTGAATCTCCAGTTAGCGGGAAGCCATGCAGCACTCTGACATGTTAGACAGATTGGTGGTCCCAGCATTTTAATGCACATTATGTATACAAGGGGCTTATAATCCATCTTACTTAGAATGTAAGAAAATAGCAAAATACAGACAACTTCAGCAAAAGCTATTCAGAATGATAATTTTTCTTTTCCACCTTTCTTTTAATTAAACGTATCAAATGCTACTAACTTTGAGCTTAAAAGTTTTCAGTACAGTAATACAAAAGAATCATTATAGCTGTTGACCAAGTAAAAGACTTATGATGTTCATAAATTTAATGAGAATGGTGATTATTTTCCACCTCCTTTGAAAGACTGTTATGACCAAAAAAGGTCAGCCAGCCTCCCCTTAAGCACTGTTCTTCTTAAATTTTCCTTTGCTCAGTTTCATCCCCCTGTGCCTAGTCATGCTTTCTTGTATTATCTTGAAGACGTTTTCTCCTTTCTCAGTGTTTATCCTTCAAATACTTCTAAATGCTTGACATATTCCCTCTAGCCATTACTAAGTCCCACCATAGTTATTTTGTTCTTTTAATCTTTCCTACTGAATTTCTGTGTTCAGTCCATATGGAGTTGGACTATTGTTTCAGTGATCCGAAAGGAATTCATGCAGTGATACTGAAAAACTAATATATTGTAAAGTCTTCATTTAATGAAAAGGGTTATAAGTTACTGTTAGTAGCACAACTACCTTCCTGTATATTAATATACAGTTGAGATTAATCACATGATTTTTGTATGATTGGGTTATTTTATAATTACTTTTTCAGTGTCCAACAAACTATATTCCAGTTTGTGGATCAAATGGAGACACTTACCAAAATGAATGCTTCCTCAGGAGAGCTGCTTGCAAGCATCAGAAAGAGATAACAGTGGTATCAAGAGGACCTTGTTATTCTGGTATGTAAAACATCACTTTGTGTCGCTAATGAATGATGTTTTATGGTTAGCTCTTTAGTTTTGCCCTTAATTCCAGCAATTATAATTTTCATGCTTTTCCTAGAATGAAATAATGTGGAAACTCCAAGTCCTCTTTCGCAATGGAATGTTTTTATAGGGAAGAAATCTGATCTATCTTCTGATATGCTAACATGTTAATAATTAAACATTAAAAGTTGAAATACTTTATCTGAGAAAACAAATTGTGACTGCTTCAGTGGTGTTTAAAGAGGAGCCTTGATATTCATCAAAAAAGCAGACTCCAAATTAGTCATTTCTTTAGGACTTTTTTTTTGGACATACAGAATTCATGTGACATCCAACAAGGGACACTGGTCATCCTGACTGCTGCTCTATCCGTATGAAAGGCATAATCTTTGATTTTGGGCCATTACATTGAAGATATGCATAACTTCCAAAATCATTCTGCCTCACATTTCTAATGGACTGGCCTTTTCTGTCTTTGCACACACTTCAGGCACAGATTTTCTACGCGTTTAAAATACATGGGACAGGTTTTGACTGCCTTGAATATTGCAATGTGGACACAGAGACTTTAGCCACTAGAGCTCTTCTAAACCTCTGGCTAGATTCAAAGCTGGTGAGAGCAGGCACATGGCTGGCTTTCTCAGAATGAAATGAAAAGACTCAGTTGCATCAACAACTGCATTCTTTGGCACATAAATAACACACACAAAAAATTAAGTTGTGGGACATCCCTCATCTTTGGATACACAATGGTTACTTGGATTCACCTAAACAAGGTTACACCTATGGCATCCACTTGTGGCAGCCAAAAGCATGACTGTGGGTCGGGTGCACACTCCTAGCTCGCTTTATGTTGGTTAATTATCAATGACAATTTAGAGGTAGAAGTCTAGAGCTCACTGATAGCTGCAGCATCTTACCTGAAAATTAGGGTAAATGCATGGGCAGTGTACTTAGGCCAAGTCCTTGCTGCTGCAGTCCCACAGTTACCTCATTTAAATGCAGTGTGACTGTGTTTCACACGGGCTGCTATAATGCCTTTGACTGCAGCACAATCTGTACTGAGGTTTGGCCTTTATTTACTAAGGTCCAAAACAATCTGTGCTGTTGGTCCTAATGCTGGAGGAAATCTTTGTTTTGAGCCCAGCACAGCTGTGTAATTACAGCATTCCTCAGGCAGATGACTGAACCTGCCTTCTTTTCCAATCTCCCACCTGTAAATTATCTCCAGATGCTGCAGAAATTGGAAAAAAAATGCAGTACAGTTTTGGAGCACTCACATGTTCCTATAACAACACCCAAGAAGTATGAAGATTTGAACTGAGGATGAGTAAATAGTGTTTTTTTAATTTCATGCCCAAATTATTTAACAAACAGACAGTTTCTTTCTCTTCCTAAAACAAAATTCAAGGACAATGTTTTGGGAACAATAAAAAGTGCATATATTTATATGCATTTTGCTGTACTAAGAAAGCGATATTTCAAATTTAAAAACTAATTTTTCTCAGCCTTAGGTTGCTGGCAGTTAATTTCTATGTTACTCAGCTAGTATGGGGATTTTTTTTTAACCTTCCTCTTCTTTTCTCTAAGTCCTACATAAACCCCAGGAAACACAGCATAATTTTGGCACTTAGTGTAGTAGATCAAGAAACGTGCTGAAACACAACTGCCCAAAAAGTACTGAAAACCCATTTCTGAAACTGAGGATGTGGTTCAGGCTGCATTTATGCTGCTGCAATTTTAAGTGCTTCAGCAGAGCTCCACTAGAATGGTACCTGCTGCTCCCCAAGTGGCTGATGTGCTGAGGTGGTGTGAGAATATTGGATGATAAAAGCCATCATCTGGAACCTCTCCATGCCCTTCCTGGGATTGTGGGTCACCAAAACATCAGTATGTTTGTGCTCTAGATCTGTTACACATATAATAGGGAATCAAATACTCAAATTAAAAAATCCTTTCTAGACCCCCCATTTATTTTCACTGAGTGCCTTTGAAGTTGCTATGAAAATGCTTTGTTCTATGACATCATTGGGAGCCAAGTATAGATTCACTGGTTTCCTATCAGAGTTTTGTTTTTTCAAAGCAAAGCTTCATCCTGGCAGGATGCACCCAAGACAATATGAAAATTCTCCCTTAGTGCTGTAACAACTATTTAATATTTAAAGTACATCAGGCTTCTGAATCTCATACAAGAATGAAATGCTTCCCATTTGCTAGGGATTTATATTTTCTGAAGCTACAACACTGGAACAGACTATACTGAGTGATTTTGTCCCTAAATCATTACTCTATTTCTTGGCAGGTAATATTTTGATTAACTTTTCACAGACATGGGTGATTGAGCAGCATATTTATATGTTTATTTCCTTTGTCAAAAGGCTGTCAAGAATTTCAAGATTTGAAAATAAGCAATGTTTTTAAAAAAGTCAAATATAGGTGCTTTAGGAATAAACAAAGTGAAAGTTTTGACATTAAAACTGGTGGTTCAGAGAAATGAAAGAGAATGTATGCCTGATGTTTTGGGACTGAACATACAGGTCTTAATATTGATTTTGATTGCTGCCAGATTTATATTATATGCGCATGAAAATGTAACCACACAGTGATGTAGTACTTTACTGCACTTATATATTCTCAGTGTTCTGTATATGTTTGGAAGCCACGGTCCATTGCTTTCTGCTGGGATTTCTAAGTCTAAAAAAAAGAAGGAAAAAACCAACTATTTGCATACCTAGGAACAAACACTGAAGCTCTGTTAGACTGAAGGAGCTTATTCTCTTAGGAGTGGCTCATGGAAGGGTCTGCTTGCTTAAAATTTGTTAGTGGACTGTTTGCATGTCCAGTTTGTACTCAGCATTTTGGAGCTGTTGCCCTAAATGGAGAAGAGATGGGTTCAATTTGCATGCTAGTTTGAGTTAAAAGCCATCCCTTCTGAATGAGAGAGGCTGCAGGCTCTTTGGGTTTGGGGAGTTATTCTGCCTCTGCACCAAAGCAGACCCACGGTACAGAAATGACTGCTGTTCAGAAAGAACCAAAAAAGAGGCATTCTGACTGTAGCCTAGTGCTTACAGTTTTTAGATGCTGTGTCTGGTCCAAGTGCTTCTTTATGTATTTTATCCAGAAACCTCTTCATGGATAAAAGCAGCTCGGAGCAGAAGCCTGTACATTTGTGTATAAGCATATTTTTATAGAATGGTTTAGTTTGGAAGAGACCTTAAATATCATCTAGTTGCAACCCCCCTGCCATGGTCAGGGACACATTTCATTAGACCAGGTTGCTCAGGGCTCCATCCATCCTGGCCTTGAACACCTCCAGGGATGGGTGATCCACATTCTTTGGGCAACCTATTCCAGTGCCTCACCACCCTCACAGTAAAGAATTTCTGCCTAGTATCTAATCTAAACCTACCCTCTCTCAGTCTGAAGCCATTCTCCCTCACCCAATCACTACATGCTCTCGTAAATAGTCTCCCTCCCATCTTTCTTGTAGACTCTCTTCAGGTACTGGAGGGCAGCAATTAGGTCACCCTGTAGTAGTCTTTTCTCCAGGCTGAACAATCCCAATTCTATTAGCCTTTACTCATAGGAGAGGTGCTCCTTCCCTCTAATCATCTTGGTGGCCTCCTCTGAACTCTCTCTAACAGGTCCATATTCTTCCTGAGCTGGATGCAGTACTCCAGGTGGGGTGTCACTCCCTTGACCTGCTGTCCATATTTCTTTTGATACAGTCCAGGATACAACTGGCTTTCTGGGCTGCAAGTGCACATTGCCAGCTCATGTCAAGCCTCTCATTCACCAGCACCCCCAAGTCCTTCTCAGCAGGGCTTATCTTGAGCTTTATTAGTCTAGTTGGAAAAGGAAAAGGGTGGCTTAAGTAAGGATAGAGGTCAGACACTCCTCTAATTGCTGACCAGTGGCTGGGAGAATGCTGTTTCTGTCCAACATCTTCACTTATTTTAGTATCTTTCTTAGCAGAACTTGGTGCATGGACACCACTTTTGGAAATCCTGAATTCATTAAGGGCCTGAAAAGGGCAGGGCTGCTTGTTCAAGTAAGCTTACAAAAAATGCCACTTTTTTAACCAGCAGCTGCTTGGGAAAATCTAGCCAAGGTTCAGAAAAAAAGCAGGACCAGCTTAGTTTAGCACGGTTACCCTGGAGACAAGGGTCCTAGCACAGTTCCCAGGGAAAAGTTGAAAATGAAAGAGTATTATAGACAATGACACTCCTTTTGTTTAACCTCTTTTAGAGACGTGTGGTGTGAATTCCAGCTCTATCATGTACACTCTCATTGCTGCTTGTGCTGTCTGTGTAGTGGTATATCCCCTACCACACAGCACATGGGCTATAACCAGAGCCCCTCATGCTGGGACTGAGTGGTATTTCTCACCCCAGGGGTAAGTGCACAGGGGAAAGAAGTCAGAGAGTGAAAGTTGGAAATAAAAACATGGAACAAGTGAAGTTTCTTTGAGATATTTTAGCCTTGTTTTTCATCTGAATTGTATGTTGAACTTGCTCATGTTTGTATGTCAACTTTCTCTCCCCCAGAACAGCTTATGACACAATTTCACCACTACAAATAAGCTTATATACTTAACTCATATAACTAAATTATACTCTTTCAAATTTCTTAATGAAGCAATACTGCATCATAAGGCATATTTCTCAGTGACTTAACAATGACATTTTGTATGGGATTGCCTGCTTTCTCAGTAAAGTAGGTCATTATTGATGGAAGAAGAACCCTTCATTTTTTGCATTAATTTCTGTAAAGTAATGAGCTCAGTCTATTAGACACACAATAGTGGTATAGGAGGAAATAAAGAAAAATATAGGTGAAAGAAAAACAAATCTCTATTCCTGATATTCCATGTGACAGGAGATTATTTTTAATGTGTGAAGTGACCCAGTAACGTGGAATTTCACACTTTCATCCATGCACTGGGGGAATTATTCTTAGAAATATGACTCCTTAAAGAAAAGCGGGGGAGGGAACTGAGCAAACTGAGAGTTTGATTTTTCCTCTGATGTGAACAACGAGCTCATGCATGGAAGTAAGAACCCTACTCCTCTCTCTGTCTGGCCTCGTTCTTTCAGATTTGTGGAAATAAATTCAGCTGCCTTCTCCATTACCAAAATAGGCATGAAAGGAAAGGTGTGGGATGAGCAGAGTATGTGCTCTGCTCCTCTCCTCATCTTTCACAGCAGCTAAGCTAACAGGGGTGGGGAACAATTCACTGACAGTAGTTGCCATCCCATCCTCTCCTCTCCTCCTTTGAGCAAGAAAAACCGGGGGAGGTTTATGACTCAGAACATGTGTTTAAGGGCTTGTCTTTACTGCATCCTAGCTGAAGACACTGTGCAGAGTGCTACCCAGCAGGGTGCACATCCCTGTACAAAATCCCTAGCCAGCTCCCAAGTGCTCTGAAGTAGAGTTAGTTGGCCTGGGGTGGTGAGGAAGCTCAAGTCCTGCTGACACTTGAACTGCTAATGCAAATGGGATGCAGCCAAAAGCTGTCACTCATCAGATGCTAATCCAGTCAGTCAAATGTCAATGAAATAACTACGCCATTAGAGCTTCTTTACATGAAGTGATTCTGGTGCCCTCAACATAAGGACGTGGAACTGCTGGAGCAAGTTCAGAGGAGGCCACAAAGTTGATAAGAGGACTGGACCATCTCTCTTATGAAGACAGGCTGAAAAGGCTGAGGCTGTTCAGCCTGGAGAAGAGAAAACTACGTGGAGACCTCATAGCAACTTTTCAATATCTGAAGGGCCTACAGGGGATGTGGAGGGGGGCTCTTTGTTAGGAACTGCAGGGATAGGACAAGGGATAACAGGTTCAAATTGAAGGAGGGGAAGTTTAGGTTAGCTATTGTAAAAATGTTTTTTACTGTGAGGGTGGTGAGACACTGGCACAGGTTGCTCAGGGAGGCTGTGGCTGCCCCAACCCTGGCAGTGTTCAAAGCCAGGCTGGATGAGGTCTTGAGCAACCTGATCTAGTGGGGAGGTGTCCCTGCCCATGGTTGGGACTCGATGATCTGTAAGGTTCATTTCAACCCCTAAAATTCTATGATTCTATGATTGATTCAGCTAAGAGGAGCTATTCTGTCATTAGATGACTTAAGTCAACTGTACTTTGAGGTTTGGTTGTCTTCTGAAGGTACTTCTGCAGTCAAGTGATTTATGAATTGCTCCTTGAAGTACCACTGCCAGGGTGTCAGAGTAAGAAGAAAATAAACTTTCCAAAAATCTTTGTACTTTTCATCTCTTTTGTGTTTAACAAATTTGAATCTCTAACAGTTGAAGAAAGACTAAGAAGGAAGTTTAGTTTCAGTATTGAATGATGCTGTTCCTTGAGTAAAATTATCTTGACAGGGAAGAGAGACTAGGGCACAGCAAGCATGGACAAACTGTATTAAAGGATGGCAGGGTCTATGTGGGATGTTTGTTTTTACAGCTGGCTCATGAAATGTAACATCTGTGTAATGTGTTACAGTGACAAGTTCCCAAACAGCTGCTCCTGGAGCAATATTTTCATTTGCTTTCTTTTTTTTTCTCCCCTCCCTGTTTCTTTTTCAGATAATGGCTCTGGGTCAGGAGAAGGAGGTGAGTACCAAACCCCACTTTTATGTGCTTTAGGTCTTCTATTTTAACTGTATGTGTGCCAGTTTTATGTGCAAGGCTTCTGTATACCACATGAATTAAGGAAAATTAGTAACAACTTAAAATAAGCTTTAATGTTGCAGAGTTATCTGACCGTCCCAGAATGCATTTGTATAGAAATAACTTGTAGTGTGCATTTGACCAGTGTTGGTCTTTCAGATTTGACTTATATAATATTTCATTTGTTACTGCCAAGATAGTGCAGTATTTAGATCCCTATTTCACCTGTATTTCTCTCCTGAAAATGCCCATTCTCAATAAATTTCTTAACAGTTTTGCTCTGCATTCATTTCCTTAGTGTCTAAAGGATCTAGTTATTACTTTGTCCTTGGTCAAACTTCTTACCAAAAATACATTATGGTATCTCTTTATAAAAAATATTTCACAGGTTTCTATTCAAAGCTGTATATTTTCAAAGAGAGGATGTAGCACAGCTGGTACTAGTAAAAGAGTTCCTATCTTTGAACTCATCTTAATCTTCTTTCAAGGATAAAAAAATAATAAAAATTTTATCTTAATTCTGTCTTTGATACTACTAGTAAGAATATATTTAGAATCAAAATGTGAGATACAGATAGATACAGACACAGAAAAACTTTTTTGCTTTTAGGCTATGCTTGTATTAAGAAAGTATTGCATTTCAGGCTGATGGAACTAAGTTTTGAAGTATTGTAAATCTTGTATAGCTACATGAAAATGTGCTATTGTGGAAAGCCATCAATGGCATCACTGTGCAGCTAAACATAACAGTTAACTTTTCAAAAATCAGGAGCTCCCTTTTTTTCCTGTAAAGAGGTGAAGGGGAAGCATTTCCCTCCCCATTAATAACATGCTATCACTAAATTCCTGGACTGCTGCTAGCATATGGCCATTCTCTCCTTTGTTTCCTTTTGGGGTATTGTCTGAATGAACAATTTTGTGCTCAATCATTGCCTCTTCTAATGTTCAGTGGTGGCCTTTTTCTGATGCCCTTCTTCTTGATACTGCATCACACCCTTTCCCCAGATCTGTTTGCTTCTCCTTCCCACTTTGTTGCCCAGTCTGTGTTATTCCACTGCAGCTGCTCCCTGCAAGCCAGGCATCGCTTGCCTCGGTACTGCTATGCGGTCCTTGTAAGAGACAGATGACAATAACTTAGTCCATGTTTCACTTTTATTTTTAGAACAGTTTTAGATAAGTTTGAATGCTGTTGGGATTTTGTTTTCAGTGTTTGTCAACTGCATACAAAAATCCCCATCAAAGTCCCTTGTAAATGTTACTGTGCTGGTCTGGAAGAGATTGGCAGCCAACTGGCAGATGTTGGGTTTGTTTGGGTAATTTTATGTGCCATTTGGAGAAAAGTAGGCCAGAACACACTGTGTTTTGTCGGTTGCTCATTGAAGAGGTGAAAGGTCCATGTTCAAATATACTCATTACTTGATTTTGGGCAGGATACTGAACCCAAGTCCACCACCTCTTGCTAAGAGAGGCCCAAATAGGTCTGTCTCCCTTTGTCATTGCTGTTGTTTTTGTTCTCACTTGAAATATTCATTGAGCCTGGGACAAAGAGATGGGGAGGAAGGATACATGCTGTGGAAAGGCTTTGTTAGCTGGGACTAAGCATGCCAATGCATTTGAATTATTTATGCAAAATAGAATGGTATCAACTTAGGAGATTTGGTGCTCCCTCGATACCTTGCAGAAGTGGTTGGTACATTGTCTTGGGAGGGGGAATATGTGTATTTAGCTTACTTCATGCAGAAAGAATTGAGTCTGGTTCCCTTGGCACCAGATGAGTATCTGCACTGCCTGGGTATTGAATAAAAAAGGGACAACACATCTGCTATGTCCTCCAGCAGGACATTGTGATATTAGCCCTTCATTTATTTAGGTTTCTTCTGAGTGTCTTTGAGCCAACTGAAATGCTCCTGCTTCTGTTCAGTATGAAAACAGTTGGGTTAAGTTCTTAATTTTAGATTAAAAAAAAGTTATTTAAACAACAAGAAATTGAAAATCCTGCTTGACACTTCTTTTCTTGAATACATCTAGGCTATTTGTGACATGAAGAATTATTCCTGTCCCCATGCACGTTCCTCACTAAACTGAGTGTTGGGTAGTACTTCTGTGGAACAATTGGTTGGTCTTTGGCATGTTGAGTCACTTTCTGTCTGAAAGCAATCTTTCAAAGGATGGATTCCACTGTTGCTTTGGTTATTGAACTGTGCTCTGGCCAAAAAACTCAAGTATATTTATGTACTCACAATATTTTTGTATCTGGAATTGGTTTTGTTCCATAATTCAAGTAACTGTTACAATGAGACATTAAAAATGTAAAAGGCTTATTACTAGTTAAGGGAACTTAGAATTAAATCCAAACCTCTAAAAGAGCAATGAAACTACTGAGAATGGACATGCATTGTTTGGAATTCAGACAAGAAGAAAGGGTAGAAACCTAGGCAGAGGATGATGTGTGGGGTAGGGGTGCTCTCTGGTGCACTCACCAGTCCTGCCTCCCTGCTTATGCCATGTGTGGGACTGACTGCAGCACAACTCCTTCCTGGCCCAGCCTTCCCCATTTGCTTTTGGAGGAGGTCAGGATATACTGAGGTAATCACTCGTTACTGTTTGTTTAATATCCTACTCTTGCACAAGGGTGCACAAATGGGAACCAAATTGCTTGGGGAACCTCTGTGCCCTGGGGGTTAGGTACAGCTAGTGCTTGGAAGCATAGGGAAGCTTCATTGAAAGGGGGAAAATGCAAGGATGAGTGAAAGACGACCAGCAAGCGAGGAAATGTGCTAGCTTAGAGATTTGTGTTTTCTTCTTAGGATTTGTATTTCCAGATGTTAATCACAGAATCGGTGTTTCCTATGTTTCTTAAACATGCAATTAGTGTGATTGTGTATGCAGCAGTGATGCTTGCACACACGGAATGGGTGAGTGCAGCTGCTTGTATACATTCAGGAAGCATTGTGATTGCTGTGCAGAGGTACCGTTTGCTGGTAGATTTTAACTTCAAAGGAAAGTACTGGGAAAGCATCTGAGTTGTGCTCTTCAGTTTCCTGGGACAGTTTCCACTGCTGAAATTAGCTGTTTGCCTCATGTGCAGCTAAGATTTGTGCTAGTGGTTCACACTGTTCTCTTTTATTATCCAGACTCAGAACAAGCTCATTAATGCTTCTGAAACTTGAATTAATGCAGATTTTTCCTCCTACTCCCTAACTGTATGATGTTAAATGCATTCATTTCTATATTAAAAAAAAAAAGTAGTTTTAGAACCAATTAAAAAACCCACAAAAGTCTTCTTCCTCAAAGACTGTTTCAGACAATAGAAGTCTTAGAAGTTGTCATGTGCCACCAAAAAAAAAGCTAAAGACCATGGAATCACTGATCCAGGTTCTCCCCAAATCATATTTTTTGTTACAGAGATGCTACATTTTACGATAAGATTTAAGAGTGGGAGAAGTTTTTCAGTATGCTTGAATGAGATGAAGCAATATAATTTTTAAGGGTGACACAATTGTCTTGTTACCCTCTGACATTCTGAATAAGCCATTTCCATTTTCCATGCTCTGATAGCATGGTATTAATAAAGAGTTGTAATAAAATTGCTCATTTTGCTCATTTCAGAAGTCTGAACCTTCAATTAGCATAATAAAAACTGCAGTCATGAAACCAAGCAGTTGGTCACTTGTGGCAATGGGTATCCTGAAGCCTCTTCTAAGAAGAGTATATGATGGTTAATTCAGAAATTAGAGACATTTCAAAAACCCCAATACTCTACTATTATGGTTCACCCTTACAGAAAGCAGTGTCACAGAGTGGGGACTCAGATCTGAAAGAGTTGCTTTGTTGGGGTCACAGCTGAAGATGGTGGGGTCCTTTAAATTTGCATTTAAAACATGGGCTTCTCTCTGTATTCTCATCTGGATCATTCTGCAATTTCCCTGCTCTGAAGCAGCCATAAAACAGGTCCTGATCCGCTTTGTTTAAACAGTGATTTGTGGAGGTCAAGGCAGAGCTGGTGAAGGAGAAGGTACAGGCTCAGTGTTCATCTCTGCCAGTTGTAAATTGCAACACTATTTAACCTGGTGGCTGTGCTTCCACAACTTGTAGATTGAAGCAGGAAAAATGATCCTCAGTCTGTCACATGTATGTAAAAAGGTGGATTGCTAGCTTGCAGCTGTGATGTTGACTTTGTGATATAGTTAGGCCTTTGCAAGGATGTGTTGAAAACCATCAGCATGTGTTACATACACCATCAAAGAACTAACAAATGATAATGACTTTTCAAGCCAGCTTCTCAGAAACAAATCACTGTCCTGGAAGAGGCAGGTTCTGTGGTCTAGTAATCATCTGAGAAGGGTGAGATTTCTAAGTGTCCTGCTATGCCCATAGCATTAATTTTTAATTTCTTTTGTCCAGTGTTCATCTGTGTACCTGAGCAAAATGCTCTTCTGGTATTAAAAAAGATGTAGTGGTAGTTAGACAGATGGCACCCAATCATTTCAGGCTTTTAAGCAAAGGAAATAACATGCTTGCAATACATATAGCTAAGTTAATTATTATTAAAATAATTTGTTTTGAATTTCTAATCCCTCTGAAATTTAATAGCTGAAGTATCTTGTGATGAACATCTAGCAGATTGCATTTAGTAATTAATAAATTGATATACAGTATGTGCTTTTTAGCAGGCTGCCATCTGTTCCTTCCCCTCACTGGGGACAACACTTATCCAGTAATTGTCACACAGTCAGGGTGGAATAAACACACACAGTTTAGAACCTTGAATATTTTTATTTTAATTTATAATAGTGCTACTGATTTGTTTGAATGTATTTTAATATGCCTGCAGAAATGTGATGGTGATTATCACCCTGGAGAGGAGATAACATCACCCCTTTTACCTCTTTCTATAATGGTGTGTGACTGAGAAAGGTTTAAGTGTGGATTCCATCACAGGA